TGTGCCGGTAATGTACGAGTAATGTTCCACTTAAACATTTTTTTTATAATATCAAGTGACGGGACGAACGAATCGTGCGCCTGATGGTAAGCGACACGCCTGTCCATTACAGTTGCAGCGCCACTCAGAGCTTTAAGTCGCAAAGATCTGTGGGACACTGCCACTGCGCCCGTCACCTTGAGACAGAAGTTGACAAATCTCAAGTGCCTGCAATTTCACCAGCACCCTTAACCCTTCAAAACCGGAACACACTAAACTACCCTGGATGGACTCTTTCACAAGGTGCTCTACTGCTATTAAAAAATTACTTACTGAAAGTATGTACAACTGAATTACTTACTTAAAATTAATTCCTATAAATTGACCTTTTCGGCCGGCATCATAAAAATACAGGTTTGTTTTAATGTTTTTTTCACATTTGGTCGGTTCGATTCTCAGATGAGGTAAACAACTTTTTAAAAGTTTTTGAATGCAGTATTACTTACTTTTTAAAAAGTCTCCATGAAGCTAATATAGTATTGTTTTGTACGGGGATCGAAGCGAGGAAGAGTGTAGAAAGACGCTTGAATCTCCAAATGCTCAACGGGTTTTATTGTCGTAGTTGTATGATCGCCATAGGACACGTAACCGCGCTCATCCCCGATACTAGCTCATATTCCCACCTGGTGGAAGCGGGAACCCTATCAAAAACGACGATTCTATGATAGATGTGTGTCGAACAACACCTGAGACCCGATAACCCGGTTACTAGCTTCTAAATAACCCGATCATTTTAGAATTTCATGGGTCATGCGCGCAATATTAGACTTTATCGCTATAATTTTAGAGATTATTCAACAATTCACAATATTATTGTTGTCTCGTTCACTCTCACGTGAAATCCTCACTGACAGGTTTCGATTCTACTTCCTTTGAGGTGACCGGGGGAGGGGTCGGAGGGCGTGAGGGTTGCTCTGAGTTCGACCTCGGAGTCCACCTGCAGGATGTGGGTCGGGTCGACCGGCTCTAAACTGGGGGAGCACTGGACCTCGAGGCTGTCGGCCAGGCATTCGTCTTTTCCCGCGTCGTCAAATGCTGGGGTGCGGTTGCGTCGGTTGAGGGGAGGGATTTGGGCAACCGTGCCGGACTTGAGAGAACGGGTTAGATGCCAGAAGCCTTGGTGGGTGGGCTCGAACCCTTCTAGGAGCTTTTCCTATCGACTTTACGTCCCTCTGTAAAGCCCGCAGGAAACGGCGGTTTTCGTCGGTAAGAGTCGTAACGAGTGGCTGCGCTCTTTTCCGTAAGAAGGGCACGCACATCCTCCGGGAGCTGTTACAAATGGCGGTTTGTATTAGACGGTCAATAGCGCAGTTGGCGTCTACGACCGAAGACATCTCATCCGCAATCTAAGCTTGGTGCTCAGACTCGAGGAAATTGAGGTCATGGCTCTACTTCCCCCAGTCCAACACCGATTTTACGGGGGCGCAAGGTTCAGGGCTATGTCCTAACGAGGGTAGAGGTGAAGGAGCACGAGGCGGTGATCTGAAACTAATTCGTGGACGACCTGGATCGAGTCTAATCTAAGGTTAATATTTTTTAATAATGCTACGTCTAGGATGTCGGGGCGGTAATTTACGTTATGCGGATAGTAGGTGGGCTCTAAGGGTGCAATTATATCGAAATGCATGGATTGGGATAGCGTCATGAGAGTGTTACCGCGCGGGTTGGTGGTGGTACAATTCCATGCATTATTTTTGGCCTTAAGGTCAGAATTACAGAATCTCCTAAGGTCAAGAGGGCTTGAATTTTTTTGCAATTTACAATGGAGGCCCCAGAGTAACTTTGAGAGATAAGTTTAAAGATATTAACATACGAGTACTTACACTAACGTCGCAGTATATTTATGAAAATGTTATATATGTTAAGAAAAAGTATTTTTTTTAATAAAAATAGTGATAGACATAACTTTAACACGAGGAATAAAAATAGCCTAGCTGTTCTTGAGTCGTCTGCACAAAGTCTCAAATTCATTTAAAGGGGATATGTATAAGCTGCTTTAATAACATTCCGATTGTTATTCAAAATTTGCCATTTACGAGGCTTAAAACTGAAACAAAAATTTTATACTAAAGTTTATTAATTACAGCTTCTGCGTATATGGATGACAGGAATCCGTGGTATTGACCCATTTAGTTCTTGCAGGTAGTCTCAGGGTCGTATTCCAGAACTCTACTCAATGCTCAAGTCAGGATTTGAGTAGACTTGAGTATGATTTCAAGCACTGGAAATACGACCCTAATGGCAAGGACTTGAGTATGATTTTCAGTGCTCACTGCAATACTTAAGTCCTGACTTGAGTATTGAGTAGAGTTCTGGAATACGACCCTTAATCGAAGATATTTGAAATAAAAATTGTAAATGTTCAATGTTTCAAATGTATATTTAAAAGAGCAAATAGAGTCCTAGAGTTTCTTGTTCATTTTTCTCAGGGGACTCTGCCTTACGATTGAGCAGTAGAGTTTAATCAAAATGACGACTTCAAGTGTAATTTGCAACCGCAAGAGGCTCAAATACGCCAACCTTGCTCAGTGCTTAAGGTTTGTATCTTTTGCGGTTGAATGAATGGGTTCCAGGGGGCAACAGGCGAAACTTCTAGCGAACGAGCTGTCGGATCGCCTCGTCGAAGCCTCCGGTTACCACAAGGCTGGCAGTTATTTCCGCCAAAGAATAAGTTTAGCAATTCAAAGGAGAAATGGTGCCAGCCTTCTGGGCACGATGCCCAGGGTAAGGCCCTCGAGGAAATTTTCTATTTCTCTAATGTCTTACTTTTTTCATGTATCTATCTGCTACTATAACGTAGTATTGTATAACCTATGAAATAAAGATGAATTCAATTTTGATTGTTTTTTTTAACGCACACACTCAAAATAACCCTGTGTCGCAGATGCCATGGACACACACATAGACAAGCACAAATTACACCCAAACTCACGAGGGAAATAAATGTAGACCATACACATATTTCTCCTGGCCTGGGAATCGAACCCAGGACCTCTGCATGGCAGTACGGCATGGTCACCTTTCGGCCACAGAGGCAGTTCTAGTGTTTAAAAGATCTGGAAACTGTTCGGACACTAATATAATACATTTACCAAAAATAAACTAGTTTTTGTTGTGCTATCGGCGGCACTACAAAAACTAGTTTATTTTTGGTAAATTAATTATGTTTTGTAATAAAGTCATGGAACAAAAGTTATATTGTTTATGATGTTAGTAATACACCTAGTTCTGTGATATTGTCAGTATTTTACAAAGAACACTTTTATATATTTAATTACGACTATAAGATTCTGGAGAATATATTAAGATTATCATTCCCTAAGTTCAAAACTTACATTAAAAGTATTTTAATTGTAAAGCCATATTACAAAATTGAAGAGTGTGTTTTAGATAAAAACGTATGGAAAGACAACAAGAATCTAAATTCCACACAATTATGATTCAAAGTGTATTTCATAGCATTTAAGTTTATTTTAAAAGAGCAATCCCTAGAGTTTCTTGCTCGTTCTTCCCAGGGAAATCAGCGTAGTAAACTAGCAGTAGCTTAAAAGGTAGCTAAAAAAATGACATTTTCAAGTATAAAAATTTTACCTATGGAATAAATGATTATTTAACGTTGACTTTGATTTTGACAATAGCTGTATCGGATCTAGGATGACAATCTTGTACCAGTATACAACACTTACCTTTCTAAGACTATCTAAAACAAAAATCTAAAGGAAAATCACCAACACTTAAAAACCAACAACCCGCTACAAAAGATAAACAGAAATAATATTATAACAACTTACGTTCACATGTTTTAAAACAAAACTATATCGAATATGTGTTTACCAGGAAATGGTGGCGGATTGATAAAAAAATGTAAATAAAAATCATCTAGCTTCATTAAGTGTCGTGGCTGTGACCACGATAAATATCGCTTGATGTTATGTCGCATATCTGTTTCAATACCCGACGGCAGTTTCTTTTATAAAAAAAATAAGTGCATAATTGACCTCCATCACAAATAATGCCCATTCACTCTCGCCTTGAATAGGTCCAAGTTATAGCGTTCAAGAAATAAGTTTACAGGGAGGGAATTCCATAACCGTTCGCCATGTAAATGTAAAAACGGAACGATTCGTGCGAACCTTTGCAATATCCATAATATAGAAGTGGACCCCATCGGATCCCTCACTGTCTTTCACTAACTTTTCAACTTCTGGAACGGTAAGTTGATAATCATTGAGCTCATTTTTAATAAAAAAACGAGTCGCGTTGATTGACACATATTTTCTCCAGGTAGGAGAGGCCCAAAAAGATCCACAGCGAGCACTTCATTTCCTTGATTTAAAATTTTCTGAAGCATGCGCCCGAGTACTAATTAAAGAATACTTTCTGCGTTTTGGATTTCCACGGCGTATTATCTCAGTGTGCTCATGTAACGTCTCTTTTTGTGATGACGATTGAAGCTGTTCATCAATCCGCGGCATCGGGTAGTTATCTGTCTTGGTTACGTCATTCAGGCGTCTATAATCAACGTCTAGTCTCCCGATGATGGAAAGGTGAAGGCGGAATAGAATCGTGTAAATCTGTCACACTCTCCGTGATATGCTAAGTAGAATACTAGCCACTTTACTGCGGTGTTCAAGGCTCTGCAGCTTCGTCTTTACTAAATACGAGCCACCTAAACCTTATTGGGAAGTTCAAAGAGTAGTTGAGGAGTTACAAATACAAATACAAAAATCCTTTATTGTCACAATGGCACTTTTTGGACATAAATAACTTGTTAAGCCAAAAAATAAACAAACAATAAACGATACGCCAAACATCTCAGAGGGTAAAAGGAGGTGTCGCAGCTTGTGATTCAATATTGTTTAATAATTAAATATAATAAATATTGTACATATAATAGGGGAAAATAAATTAAAGAGAGAGAAAGAAAAAAAACATCAACAGGTTATTCTGGCCTATTGGCCTGACTGTGTATGTGTATAAAAGTGTGTGTGGGCGTGTGTGTGTGTTTGTGTATATTTACTCTTTGAGACACAAAAAATTAGGGCAGTTTTAGTACCTTTCAGTAAGAGTGCTTCAGATCCACTTCTGCAATTAGCCTTTTTTATTAAGGCTGATTTAAATAAGGCTCTGAACGTACCGAGTTGGGTAATCTACGGACTGCCCTGGTTACATCATTAGATTAAGGTTACATTATTGTAATCTCGTTGGATTTACATATTACATACCCATATAAAATTTCAGGTCTGACAACCAAGCAGAAGTAGAAAAATATTGATTTAATAACAGATCCCTGCAATAATTGGGGAAAGAGCTAATTATCTTAAAACGTCTGAACGGATGTTCATCAAACGCTCTTCAGAGCATACTGCCAGAGTTTCTACACGTGTGCTCTATGTCTATGTAGTCTTGTTGAGGCCTCCCCGTCTCTGCAGTAGCAGATGCTGCTGTGGACGATTTCTGTGCTATCATGCGTAAAATGTCGTATTTCCCTGGACGAACTCGTTCACAAGGAGCTCTACTGCCACTAAAAAAATGTTTACTTAAAATTAATTCCTATAAATTGACCTTTTCGGCCGGAATTTAAAAAATACAGGATGTTTTTTTCATGATGTCCATAATAGTTACTGTGCCACCCAGAGCTTTAAATTACAAAGAACTGAGGGGCACTACCCCTGCGTCACCCTGAGACATGTGCCTGTAATTTCCTATTCATTTTTTAATTTCATCATAATCATCATTCACAGCCTGATTTCACCCACTGCTGGGTATAGGCCTCCCAATGTTTGTGCCATCTCTCTCCCCGCGTCGCGTATTATGTCGTCGACCCACCTTGCAACAGCCCGATGCTTCTTTCTTCACCAATCAATCGACGTCTTGCTCCACCCATCATCACCTTGCCTTGCTTTGTATTCCGCCCCCCCTCTAACTTCCATGAACCGAGTTCCAGCATCCTAGACTTTCGTCCGTCGTCGTCTTCAAGGTCAACTTTAGAAATTTTTTTATAATTTCAAGTGACGGGACGAACAGGTCATGCGCCTGATGGTAAGCGACACGCCTGTCCATAACAGTTGCAGTTCCACTCAGAGCTCGTTGCAAACATCTGAGGGGCACTGCCAATGCGCCCGTCACCCTGAGACATAAGTTGACAAATGTGCCTGTAATTTCACCAGCACCCTTACCCTTCAAAGTCGGAACACTATATTTATCAAACTGGCCTTCAAGTAACAAAACCGCTTTGAGATCAGTCCATCTATTTGGGAGCTACAATGTCACGACTTTCGGATACGCATAAAATTGCTTCTCATAAACCCCTTCTTTTTAGGTCAATTCGTCTACATTTCATTTAAAATTATATGCCAGTCACGATTGATACACGACTGATAACAAACCAATGTCTATCGTCATCATTCAGTTTAAACAAACAGGTCATTCACACGTAGATTATCACGTTTCTCAACCAACTCCGTTATTTCTAACTATTAAACTGGTTAAAGGGCACATACATATATTGTTTAGAATGGAGTTGTTTGATAACATTGGAGAGCGGAATTTTTTTACGTGACAGGCAGATGCCTGATGGTACATGGAACCAAAACATGAAGGAACCTAGCACAACGTTGTTATAATCACTGCCCTAGCCATCTCCACCATGCATGCCTACACGATACCTCTTAACGCCTCATACGGGATCTTTCTGTATCATAATAGAACGTTCTCACTAGTGTTGTAAAAAACACAAGTCCAGGAGTCTACATTCTAGAACTCGATTCTAATTCACACTCCACTCTCGACAGACAGACTCCACTACTCGATACATGATGATGGGCTTATCGAGTTTCCGAATAGACTCGAGTTCGATACGTGCTTGAGTTTATGTATGAGTCGCGCTCCAAGTTCGAGTCTGTTTAGGAACGAGTAGAGCCCGTGGTAAGTATTAAAATCTTTGTTTTTCATCAACATATTAGGTTTTTGCTTTTTTTTAATTTTGGGCAAATGTAGTTGTTCAGCAAAATTGAACGCTGCTTGTCTTATTCAACACCTTGTACAGTAAAAGTCGCTTCGGGTCGAGTTTTCGAATTCGAGTTTTGTTCAAAACTCGAGTCCGTGTTCCAATGACTCACATTGGATTCGACTTTTAGGCCATCGAACCCGAGTTTTTACTTGTATTTCATCAGAAATATATGAAAGTCCCCTTTTCATCACCTGTCGAACACAAAACAGGTATTGGCCAAAACATTGCCTGTTACAAAGCAATTACAGAGTTTTTTTATTAAACTGGCTTTGCAACAGACCGGTTGGACTACGCAACGCGTGCGTTGCTTTGATCGATTGATTAGCGTCTTTCATATATTACAGTCTATTGGAAGAGACTCGTGCTCTGGAGGACATGTTTATATTGGCACAGACTACGCATTATGAAGTTCTCTGTTTAATTTTTACTTTTCTAACATTTTTCTTTGTTTAAATGGCCACATACCAACTGGCCACCTTGGATTCAATTGACAACCGTGCCAAGAAGTTTATAGGTGACTCGGAATGAGTAGAGGCGAAGCTGCAGAGCCTTGAACACCGTGACTTGACGTAGGCTTGGGGTCCATCATTTTTAGAATATTTTATACGTAGGTGGAAACGTACATAGTACACGGTATCCTAGTTTAGGCTTCAGCATTTACAGACAACAAAATGTTTTAGTTTACAATAAAATTTTATAATAGTATTATTTTTACAGAGTTGTGCGTGAAGGAAAATAGTAGTTTATGTGACTGTTACATAACGAAAGCCTTTAAAATATGAGTGTGGGTTTATGAAACAAGCCGACAGGCGAGTGTTTTAATGCCCAATTATGTACAGTTACATACACTGTTTTATCTATACCATGGAGTATTATAACCAGAAATAGAGACGAAATGTCATTTCATTTGTTTGAAAACTATTCTACTATATGTGCTCTGTGATTCTCCTATATCATTACTGTGACAACTGCGCTCCGATTGGCCAGCCCGAATTCGAAGCAATTGACGGGTGTCGTCAATTGTTTCACTTCAAATCGATAAGTTAACTTGAGCTTAAAATTGCAATATTTGATATTTAATTACCGATGAAATTTGTTTCCGTTTGTTTTGAAATTAGATGTTTTGCTATTTTTCCCCACACCAACGAATGGAACAGCTCCTATTCTTATCTTTATTACAGTAAATACAGAATATTTTTGGAATATTCGGAGACGTACACACAGGTCAGTTGTTGGCCCTGTCTATGTTTCAGTGCAAACGAGAGTTGGTATTTATAAGTGATGTATCAATGATGAGTTAATAGGAATATATGACCCTTATTTCGTCTCTATTTCTATATTTATATACTTGATGATCTACACACGTAATTGTTATAAGCTCTCTGTGATATGAAAATTTTCTCGCGCATATCACGCAACCGTACTTTTTATTTAATTAAAATAATTAAACATACTAGAGTCGACCCCTACTATCATATCTTTCGATGTCAAGGTAACGTGTGAAATTTATGAAAATTGTTTGCTATTGACATTTCATTTCGAATAAACTTACTTTCGACTGATATTAGAATTGAGGTCGAATGAAATTGTTTTGTTTTTCAGAGATGCTTGAAATTTGAAAATCATAATAAAATCAAATTCGATGATCAATGTGAAGCAATCATTGACTTACAAAATAAATGGACGACGGGTCTAATACAAAAACCACGAAAAAAAATGTCCCAAGTCAACCTATTTAAGCTTAGTGACATGTAAAGGAATACGAAAAAGCTTTTAAATTGCTTGTTTCGCTGTCAGTCAAACAAACGAAGACTAAAGCGTGAATGACGCTCTGTATACGATTTTAACGCCCTATAAGTTCGGATACTTTTTAGCGCGGACCCGACGTCCATATAATTGTAAGTCAATGGAAGCAATAATAACATTTTCACAGATAAGAAATTTGTTTTACGAAAACATTTCACCTTTATGCTGTTCATAATTTGCAGTTTTTTAACACATCATAGAGGGTTTATGACATGTGTGTAGATAAAAGCTATATTATTATTATAAATAAAAGACGACTGTGTGTAAACCACCTCGACCTTTATTTTACGAAACCAATTGACGGGACGAACAAGTCGTGCGCCTGTTGGTAAGCGACACGTCTGTCCATAACAGTTGCAATGTCACTCAAAGCTTTAAATGGCAAAAATCTGAAGGCTACTGCTTTTACACCAGCGTGTAATTTCATCTGCATCTTTACCCTTCAAAACCGGTTTCGGCGTACTTCAGTACTACACCTTGAAATCTTGGAACTTCAAGAAAAATTACTACTTGTCTTTGAAGAAGAGTATTAGCAAAGAGGAGGACGAGATCTCCTTTACTAACACGGAAGTAAGTACCATAACATAGTATACAGAGTGTAATTGTTTTATTACACATCAATACACACAAATTTTACTAAGAGGACCCCCCGCCACAAATACACGGTGCAATAATAAAACGGTGCACGGATTAGCCTACTCAAGTTTTTGATGAACCGCCATATTTAAATTACAAATAGTTGTTTTTGTAAAATTTTTACTAAAAAAAAAAGAAATCACGAAACAAGCATTGACTATTTTGTACATAATATAAATTTCTACTCAAATTTTGGTTGGTCATTATTGATATTGCAAAATTGACAGGCACTATGTACAAATTTGACAATATCTATTTCCTACTTCATTGTGAAGTGTTATTATTCATTATACTGTGACTACTGGGTGTAAATTCAATCACTTCAATATCTAAGTCCCATGTGCCTGTAGCTTCACCAACACTCGTATATCTTTCACAACGAGCTCTAAATGCTACTACGATGCCATGGACAGAAAACGGCTTCAAACTAATAACTCCCCTCTTTTAGCGTCGGGTTTTAAAAATGTAATAAACTTCCTGACTAATAGATGGAAAACGAATGATTATTGCAAGAAGAATGTTTATCAAACCGAATTAAAGAAAACTAATGACATGTTATGTAAATGAGTATATTCGTAGTTGATTTATATTCTTTTAAATTAAAATTAGCGCTTAATTTATTTTGGAATATAATAAGTGAATTTTACAATATTTACAAAGAATACACAGTAAATAAGAAATAAATAAATAATTAATACTGTTGGAAATACAGAATGAAATAAAATAAAACAACAAAAGAATGAAATATTAATTGACTACCGAGAAAATATGTAGTAAAAAAACACAATAGTTCATTTACGATAGTTTGGAGATAAAGATTTTTTCACCTGTATTTGATATTTTAACTTAAATTTTACAATAAAATATATTTATAAGATCCAAATTCATTCGCTGACATCCCTTTATGTTCTTCAAACCATGCACCGCAAACTTTACTATGAAGCAACTGGCTTTACTTGCGCGATCTAAAAGGGTCCCCTTTTAGTAAAAGTCGTATTCATTCATGCACTTAAAAATCCCATGAAAAGACGTCAGCTAATAACTTTAGGCCTTATATTGTCCCTTAGAATCAATGTAAGTAGAAATTTTGACGAAAAAAAGTACTTGCATTACAAAATATACTTTGAGTTTCCGAATCGGACAATTTGCATAACTTTAATCTGATTTTTTTAAAGTTTGTTTCAATGTTTTAGCTATGCATTGCTCTACTTTGGTTATAAATGACACTTGCTTACCATTTCTACGTACAGGGAATTATAGGTTTAGTAATAAGTAAAATATTTTACTTCAGAATTGTAAAACAAGTATTTATTCCTTAGTAAAAAAACTTTTTCGCCAAAATTTAAATTACGCCCATTCGTGTTGAAGGGTGATTATTTCCTAACTACCACAGTAAAAGTTTTCAACTTTTAAAAATCACAATACATTTTTTCAATTACATAGTAAAATTTTATTAAACTAAAATCTCTTATCGTAACATTTCTATTATTAAATTAAAAAAAAAAAAACTTTGGTTCTGAACCTGACCATGTAATCTAGTTCTCCGTTCGACAACCCTTCGAAACATTTCAGGAAGTAATATTCGGTATCCGGTAACCAGGAGGCCAGCAACTACTTCTGGCAAATAATAAGCTTAGCCAGCCAGCAGTGGCCAGCTTCCAGGCTGCAGAATATAGGATGGATAATACGCTAATGTGATATTGAAGATTCTTTGTCACGGCTACGCTGTATGTACCATATTTAGTTAAATCTATTTTTCAATGCGACGTGTAAAGTTGTGCATATTTTCAAAATGATTTAAAACAAAACAATAATAGAAATGCTGTGCTAGACTCGAGATAATGAAAAATAACCCCATAAACAAAGTGACCCTGAATCTGCGTCATTTTGTCCATCAATGCTTTAAGGTTTTATTGGTAGAGTTGTAAGAACACAGAACAGAGCTGTACTGAACAATTTATTCAAATACTTGTTTCACTATGTTTTCATTTACCCTTATGGATATCTATTGTAATCCAGTAGGTATACGGTAGTTGATATATTTGTACAAACTCTGTAGTAAAAATTGTTTATATAAAATCACGCTATAAAACGTTGTAAAATATAAAACGTAATTTTATAGAAATTCCACTGTAGTACTGTACATTATAGAAAAAAACATTTTTACTATATGGGTCCACCATTTTGAAACATGTCATTTTAACATTTTTTTTTTGTATAGGAAGAAAATAAACGGCGTTTTAGCTACAGGTTCATGGGTAATGATAACTTATCAAATTCACCTTTAAAAATAAACAATGTCAGCTGTTTCATGAAATGGAATAAAATATTTTTTATCAAAAATTAGTAATTGAGGACGAAATAGAAGAGCTCGTCGCCCAGCGAAATATCAGCGCAACCAAAGTGCACAGATTTTGCTGGCTTGGCCATTTAGAAAGGATGGGAGAGAATCGGAACGTAAATATAACCTATCCGGGTCGACCACTAGATGAAAACAGGTTGGTTAGCACATGTACAGCTGGAAAGATGCCTACGCGAATTTCAAGCCATCAATTGACGAGAAAATGCACAGGACCGGAGAGAGTGGCGTCATCTCATTTCGGAAACCAAGCCAGATTTGAATCGCTGAGCCAGCGCAGTAAGTTAGTAAGTCATTAACACAGCTGAGTTAAATTCTCCTGCTCTTTCGATCTGTTTAAAGTCTCCTTATTCGCAACAAATGATTTTTTTACATAAACTTAAATTATAAAAATAACATTCACAATAACCGAAACGTTTGTAGATTATTATAGTACTACACTCGTCGTGTAAAATTTGCGGTGGCACCCATAAAGTACAACTTTATGGCATTGAGACAAGTTCTACTGAAAAACCTCGCAGATCTTAAGTTGTCACCTTGTTCATTTAATACTGAAACAATTAATTAAAGGCTCCCAATGTCGATGGAAAATGATGTTGAAATTATTCTACACATATTGTTATGTTAATTTATAACATAATACTTAATATAAAATTTGTTTTAAAACATTGTTGTACAAAACGTAAAAGCAGAGAGAGAAGAAAATTATCTTTACTATGAGATCCAACCAGTATAATCTGAAAAAAAAAACAATAATTAAAATTAGGTATTTAGTTTTAAACAAAGGGGTGTTACTTAATATCAATTAAAAAAGAAATGTGACGAATAATTGCCTTTGTATCTCAATTATGCCTGCACAGTCGAACCATGCCACGCAGAGGTCTCGGGTTGGATTCCCGGGCCGGGAGAAATATTTGTATTTGCCTACATTTATTTCTCTCGTGAGTTTGGGTGTAATTATGTTGATTTGTATTAAGCACACTATTGTGTACTTATGGCTTAGTATTAAATAATTGTTTCTTCATTATTTTGTAAACTGCGCTCACTTCTCAAAGAGTAGTATAAAATGACATATAATTGTATTTGTATGAAATTTGTAATCTTGAGAGAAATACACTAAACTAAATTATAAAAATTTGTCAATTTTCGTACGTGCTTTAATCAGTCCGAATAGTTTGGCCTATTCGACTGCACTGCTGACCGAATATACTATTCGTTGCAACTCTACTATTGTATAAGAATAGAATAGAATAGAATACGTTTATTTGCCGGTAATACAGTAATTACAAAGGTCTTAAGTAAAATTAGGTACATTGTATTCAACCTGCAAGCAGATGTGCAAATATTAATGGGATTCAATGTTTCTTTAGTCTCTATAGTTTCTAATTAATGTAATGAATTTGTAAATTCTAAGTATTCTTTATTACTATAGAAGCAATGTGTCAAGAACCATTTTGTCAATTTTAATTTAAAAGTTATGTCCTTGTAACAATTTAATTTCGTTTGGTAATTTATTTTAAATAATTATACACACGTTGAAGCAGTTATTCTTATAAATTACTTTATGGCAACGAGGTTGGTATAAGAGATTCATAATTTTTGCTCTAGTTTGCCTTTGAATGACTTCACCGCGTATTTTAAAATATTGAGGATGACAGTTGACAAATATGCAGATATCCCTAATGTACATAATGTACAAGAAAAGACGCTTGTCACAAAACACTTAACTTAACTCGTTATATTTTGGCACTCAGAGCTTTAAATCGCATTGATCTAAAGGGACACTGCCACTGCACTTGCCGCCTTGAGACATAAGTTGACAAGTCCCATGTGCCTGTAATAATGTTCTAATTTACTGGTATTTGAAAATAGTTTCTAGAAGTATATACTTACTGTTTATGCAGTCTTCTGGCTTGAGGTAACGTGGCTGGGTCTTCTTTAAGACAGTACTCTCGGGCACCCTTCATATACCACCTTATGTACTCACTCCAGTTAATTTCCTGCCAAATACAAGGTACGTTAGTTTTTTTTTTTTTTTTTTAATAATAACGCACACACTCAACATAGCCCCGCACTAGGGAAACCCTGTGTCGCGGGTGCCATGGACACATATGTACATAGACAAACACAAATTACACCCAAACTCACGAGAGAAATAAATGTAGGCCATACAAATATTTCTCCCGGCCCGGGAATCGAACCTAGGACCTCTGCGTGGCAGTCCGGCATGGTAACCGTTCGGCCACGGAGGCAGTTTATAAATAGTTCAGCAGTAAACTCTAGTACTGCCACTGTACCTATTTCTGCTGCCAAGCAGTAACGTGAACTTTACTGCTTTCCGGTTTTGAAGGATATGGGTGTTAGAGAAAGTACAGGCACGTGGACTTTAGATGTTGCTGAGATTGAATTTACTCCCACAGTATAATAAATAAAAATACTTCACAGTGAAATAGGAAACAGACATTGTTATTATTTGTACGTAGCGCCTGTCAATTTTGTAATATCAAAAATTACTAATCAAAATTTGAGTAGACATTTACACTAAGTACAAAATAGAGAATGCTTGTTTCGTGATTTCTTTTTTTTTTACTAATAATTTTACAAAAACAACTATTTGTAATTTAAATATGGCGGTTCATCAAAAACTTGAGCAGGTTTATTCGTGCACCGTTTTATTATTGCACCGTGTATTTGTGGCAGGGGGGGGGGGTCCTCTTAGTAAAATTTTTTGTGTATTGATGTGTAATAAAACAATTACGCTCTGTATAATATGTTGTGGTACTTACTTCCAGGTTAGTAAAGAAGATCTCGTCATCTTCTTTGCTAACTCTCTTCTTCAAAGACAAGTAATTATCGTTCTTGAAGCTCCAAGTCTTCATCGTGTAATACTGAAGTACGCCGAGACCGTAGCTCACCTTTTTCTGCACCTTTACCATACTGAAAACAAATTACAAACGATACTTTAACGTCTACATGCTTTTGTTCTTGATTTAGACTTATTTTGTTTACGTGGTGAATGAACAAATGAAATATTTATTTTATTGTACTACAAAAGTATACATGGGTAACTTTGAAAGGGTTGTAACCCTAAGAACCGTGATTAGGAACACGGCAGTAAAACAGGAAACTTCCGGTCCACAAATTTACTTAACGTGACGTAAAAGGTAAAGTAAAGAAAAAAGAACTGTAACAAATAAAAGTTAAATGTAGAAAAACAGCACATTAAAAAAAAACACTCCATAACTTAAATCTAAAATTATTAGGTGTTAAATTTAGGCACTTACCCCTTATAGGGTTGTATTATGTTGAATTACAGATAAACTAATTATTGATACAAAGATCGAACACTCAGAAAAAACACTCAGAAAAAATTCCTTCGATCCGGTCGGATTCGAACCGACATCTTCTTGCATACCGTGCCAGACGCTGTACCAACTAAGCCACGGAACGAACCAACGGACCTCACGAATTTTTCTATGTGCTTGCGTCGTGTCTTTGTACTTGGTCTTTCAACAACTTTTTCAACATCTATGAGAAATCTTTAACAGATTTATCACCACGTTATACAGATAAACTGTTATATATATTTGCTGTTATATATATTATGGTCGTTACATGATTTACAGTGATTGTATTATGATTAAACTTGAAAAGAATTTAAAAAATTAATAACAATTTGATTTCTAATAATATAATAACGCACACATTCAACATAGGGAAACCCTTTGTCGTGGGTGCCATGGACACACACATAGACAACCACAAATTGCACCCAAACTCACGAGAGAAATAAATGTAGGCCATACAAATATTTCTCCCGGCACGGGAATCGAACCTGGGGCCTCTGCGTGGCCATCCGACATGGTAACCGTTCGGCCATCGAGGCAGTTGTATCCGTATGTATTGTATATTTAGTAGTATCCGCTATCGCGGTCAAGCAGGGAATGACCGTCGAAAGAAATAAAATCAGAATGCGAAGGAAAATGGAACAATTCAAAATTTTAAATTTAAATATGAATAGAAGAAGAAAAACGATACGATACGAATGGATAGAGACGATACAAAAGGTGGGGTGACGGTGTAAGGAGGTCACACCGTCACAACCTTATTGTTATATGTTAATATTTATGTATAATTCTAATAATATATGTGTTTATTATTATTATTTATACGTTTACTTTATTCATGAGTTGTGTATTTATTTAATTCTTTGGCTGCACCCCCGTTTCGAACTCTTAAATTGTCTATCCTAAGGTTGCCTGGAAGAAACTGCTACTTAGCAATGAGGCCGCCTGTTGTACATTGGCTTACTCTGCGATACTTACGTTACTGTTCTGTGTTGCCATTGTAATTTTAATGTGCAATAAAGACTATTTCATTCATTCATTATACTTTAGTGAATGATCCACGTGATATCGCGGAGTGTCATTTATCGAATTCGGAACTTACCCTGTACTCTCCATCCAATATCTGTCCGAAACAATTACTATCAAATAAGTAATACACGACCAAGTTAAAAGAAGTATGATGCGAATGATGCTTCATAGTTGATATTATATTTTATTTTCGTCGCGTATTGGTTATTTGACAGTAGGTAATAGTTATGGACGAAGTACGAGAGTAGACCCCATACGAATCGGATGTAGTGCACAAATACTACATGTCGGCGGTAATAACTCCACATACATTTAAAGATGCTATAGAGTACAGAAATTTTTAATTCCCTAATCTACTTTCGCTAATTAACTTTAATACAAACTATCGCGTCCGTAATCCTGTGACTTTCAAATTGTGTGTGTACACCAATAATACCTCATGTAGCAGCCACAGACGTGCTAGAATGTCTAACCCTCTTCTGACGTCACGTCACTGTCAAGTCAGGGTCACCAGTTTACCATGGTGCAGGTGAAAGGTGTTAGTGATCACCACTTCGCCATGGTAATTTGGTGGAGAATGATAGACCAGTCGTGGGTTGGTTTGAGCTACTTATTTATACTAATTTGGTACGTGTGTCTTATGCTGATTGCTTGCACTAAGACGTGCATGTGACGTGAATGTCGGAGGAGGGTTAGACATTCTGGCACGTCTGTGGCTGCTACACCTCATTTTATAATCCCCTCACCCGTATGTGTCGAGAGTACAATGACCTCGCTGCTGTCCATTCTGAGATTGACATCTTCAGCAGTCGCTATTATGCATTTCGAAACGTCATTTGCGAAAGGTTTGGATGATGTTGTCGAGGTTGTAGCTGGTATTATTATTGTCAATATATAACAATGTTATCTATTTAATCTTAATCGATGTAAAATTTGTCTTAAATTAACATTAAGTATTTGTATGTATGTATTAAGATAAATAGTTGGGCTTATGATTATTACCATACAGATAGGTTATCTCAATGGTAATTCCCATCACCATCCTAGCCAGTTAGCTACCGTGGGCAGATCTTTGTTTCAGAGAGCACATGGTGTCTGCGACAGTAATCATCTGGCAGGGGAACTTCAACATATAAAGCAAGTCCTACATGCGAATAAGTTGAAGATTCCACGCCAATGCCACAGGCCCCGTGTGAAACCACCAACAGTCGAGCGAAGACCTGCCATCTTACCTTACGTGAGAGGTGTTACAGACAAGATCGGAAGAGTCCTCAGGCGCGCATCTATCAAGACCTATTTCAAGCCCCTGAGGAAGATTTCTCAGTTCCTGAGACCCGTGAAATGTAACATCCCCTTACAGGATGCAGGAGTTTACAAGCTTGACTGTGAGTGCGGTCTCTCTTATATTGGACAAACAAAGCGAAGTATTTGTACCCGCGTCAAAGAACATATAGCTGATGTCAAACACCGTCGCGTAAACAAGTCTGCAGTCTGCGAGCATGTCATGGATAAACCTACACATTCAATGAAGTTTGACAAACCCCAGGTCCTAGCAAAAGAAGTCCGTTATCTACCCAGGATGCTGCGAGAAGCCATTGAAATTAAAAAACATTCTAATTTCAACAGTGAAGATGGTTTCTCCGTACCACCAGTTTGGGATCCAGTATTTCCTCTAATGAAAAATCCCAAACAGACATAAGACTGCAGTACTAATTAATATGTTTTAGTTTATTCTAATTTCTATTAATAATTAATAATAAATTGAACTTAATAAAAAATCATTCAATAAAATAATTTGTAAAACTTAATATAGCGTAAATTGGAACGTTTTTCTTTGTAAAATTAAAAATAAGGTATTTAATTAATAACTATTGTAAGTATAGTGAAAAAATAGGGTGGTTTGCATCAATATTAGACATAACTGGTTGAAGACTGTACCACCTCAGTCAACCGTGACCATGGGACCTGTAAAGGGCCCGAAACGTCGGTTTGTTTGAAGAAACAAATATAAGCGATTTAAATACGGAAAAATAGTTTCATTTCCTATGTGTAACAATCGCGAAAACCTAAGAACTCGATATTATGATTATTATTTTAAATATTTCTATTGTTCACTAGATGTTAACATTTACTAATTTAGTAACAGCTTGTAAACTTGTAAACTTACATACTGTAAAATTAATGACTTTAGTCTGTATTGTATACTTAAACCTGGTGATGAATACTCACAAAGTTTTGTGTCCAAGTAAATACAGAAGGACGTCTAAGAAATAAGCTGGCAGCCAGTGTGTGAAGAAGAGAGCAATTTGATGATGGAGCCAATTTGTTTTCGGAGAGCCTCCAGGGTACCACACGCACACGGAATATGGGAATTCCTGGACGTGGAGTCGACCTGAAAGATTATCATGAAATATAGGAACTTAATAATGGCCTTAGATTATAAATGAGAACATTGTTGTTTGTTGAGTACAAGTGAATAGCGATGAAAGATTTTAAGGTTAAATAAAAACTATTTTATATATACAACCTTTCTATAAAATATCGACGATGTCTGCCTAACATTCGGTGAACCAAGGCCATATTTGTGAAATTATGTGCTTTCGCGAGAGGTTTAAAATTTATATGAAATTATTTAATCGATAACTTTTTTAGGTTCTCGTGTTTCTCTAAGAGAAAAGTTTAAATAGACTGGTATCATGACTGGCATCACAGTATATTTACTCAAATATTTTGTATGCCCGTAAAAATATACCTAATTTCATTAAGAATGAAGATATCTATAATATTAAACTTAGAACTAAGTCCAAACTCATGTTACCACGATTTCGTTTAACTAAGGTAAACGATTCTTTTATGGGGAACTGTATACGTTTTTACAATAAGATTCCGGAGCACATATTAAGATTATTTCCTACGTTTAAAACTTACATTAAAAGTATTTTAATTGAAAAGTCATATTACAAAATTGAAGAGTATGTTTTAGATAAAAACGTATGGAAAGACAACAAGAGTCTAGATTACATACAATTATGATTCAAAAGTGTATTCCGTAGCATTTAAGTTTATTTGAAAAGAGCAATCCCTAGAGTTTCTTGCTCGTTCTTGTCAGGGAGGTCAGCGTAGTGAACGAGCAGTGGCTTAAAAAATGACGTTTTCAATGCAAAAATTTTACTTATGTAATAAATTATTATTTGACTTTGACTTTTGTGCTTCAATATGAGTTATAAAATGTTGCACATAGTTTTTTTTCATGAACCGACTTTAAGAAAATAGGAGGTTCTCAATATAACTGTATTTTTTTTATTTAGGTTACGCGATAACTTTTGAAATTGAGAACCGATTTTGATGGTTCTTTTTTGTTGGAAAGAGGGTACATCAGTATTAGTCTCGTTTAAATTTGAAGAAAATATTCGATGTCTCAGGGTCGTATTCTAGAACTCTACTCAATGCTCAAGTCAGGACTTGATTATGATTCAAAGCACTAGAAATCATACTCAAGTCCTTGCCATTAAGGTCGTATTTCCAGTGCTAGAAATAATACTCAAGTCTGCTCAAATCCTGACTTGAGCATTGAGTAGAGTTCTAGAATATGACCCGTAGGGTCGTATTCCAGAACTCTACTCAATGCTCAAGTCAGGATTACAATTGAAACACAAGCACTGGAAATACGACCCTAATGGCAGGAACTTGAGTATGATTTCTAGTGCTCGAAATCATACTCAAATCCTGACTTGAGCATTGAGTAGAGTTCTAGAATACGACCCTAAGAGTGGCAAACTAGGGGATGAATCCTGCTTCTGTAATTCCACGAACCTTTGAGGTCGTTTTTTTTATAAAAAAAATTATAATTATGACTTCCATGCCATTTCTGAAGTCACAAATTTAATTGTGCAACATATTACCAATGCCAATCGGACATTGACCAAATCCAGAACAAAAAATCTCACGCTGTAGAAAGCAGACGTTTTACAAAAAGGTTTTAGTTTCCTGTTTACAAATTATGTAACTTACCATAGTCCAAGGCCATTCCCCAAGTCATAGGGTTAACACCGGACTGAGTCAAATTGCATACACTTATTTTGTCAGGTCTGAAAATAAATACAAACAAAAATTTATGAGATTAATATAACCAATTATTTTGAAAAATTTATAAGACTCCATAAAAATATTATAAATAATGTTGAGAGTTATGAAGTTCTTCGGCCGCAAATTCGCAGCGAGCGGGGCGTTCAAGGTTTGTTTTCCCCTTTGTTTCGTGATTAGACGTTTTGCTGTTTTTCCCACACCACCGAATGGAGCAGCCCCCCATAGCTACAGATATTATCTATATTATAGAGACATACACACAGGTCAGTTGTGGGCTTGCAGTGCTACGAGAGTTGGTATTTAAAAGTGGTATAAGGCCCATTTGCCAGATGAGTTGCCATGGAAGGATGGCCGTTGTTTCGTCTCTGTTTCTGGTTTTATACTCGATGTGCGTTGGATACATTCAACACAAAACTAAAAAAACATCCAATGAATTGATAGTTGAAGTATCCTACATTCGATTCACGATTTAGTCTTTACTGAAAAGTAATCGAATATAGTTATTAACTTAGTAATTACTAATTAAATTTTGTGGTGTCTAAAAAACAGGTGCTCTACACTATGTTACGGAATGTAAATAAAAATATAAATCGATCCTATTACTGTTACGACATTTGATCAACAATCAAAAAGGGAAGTGTAGTATTTATTTAGTAACTAATTGACATCAAGAATCGAATAACCTTGATTGTTTATAATCGAATAATTCGACGCGCAAATTTTGAACGCCAACTGTTTTTAGAACAGTAGCACTTTATCTATTTCTGTCGCCAAGCAGTAATGCCATTACTACATTTCAGTTCTGAAGGGTACGAGTGCTGGGTGACAGTAGCAGTGTCCCTCAGACCCTTGCGATTTAAAGCTCTGAATGGCACTGCAACTGTTATGGACAGGCGTGTCGCTTACTTTCATGCGCTTGGTATTATAAAATATAGAAAACATTGGACATAAAAACTAGCCTTTTGCGTCTAAATCGCGTGTTTTTATTTTTTTATGCAAGATGACAAGTCCCATGGTCACCTAGGGCTTGCTGAACCGGGCCGGTTGCCAAAATTTTCCGGTACAATGCTCAACTCAGTACCGGTATTCCCGGTACTTCTTGAAAAGCTTAAACTGTAACCTGCAAAAGCATACATCATGCTTTTTCGGATTATTCATATCTATTCAATAATTTACGTAATAATAATTCTATAAATAATAAAGAAATACTTCATTCTCTAATCAAAATAATGGTTTTTATCAATTTGAGATGTAATTCCTATTAAATTTAACATAATATAATATCGTAAAATCATTGCAGTTTTATAATAAGTTTAAGTAAGTAGCATTATAATGGCAGTGCGAAGTTGCCTACTGGAGATATTACTCATAGCTCATAACCAGGAGTACCGGTAACCGGATTTCCCGGTATTTCCAGAACCGATTCCCGGGAGCAAGCCCTAAGACACGGCTAAATCATGGTAGAAAAAACTATTATTAAAATATTGGAACCATAATAATGTTCTTACTTCTCAATGGCATTAAGATACGCCAACAAGATGCAGGCGTTGACAACCATGTCGACAGGAATGATGTCAGTTAGAATCTGATCGTTGCACATCATCGTACGAATTACACCTGGAAAGTAGAATTATACATTATGAAGTTATAGGTCTAGATGATGATAAAAACGCTATTAACAGACATGTACTATATTCAACTATAAATTTTGCTGTAAGAATTGTCCCTCTTTAAATTGCTAATTGAAACACAATGTTGACTCATTGCTAACGCGTAGTCACGGAAGAAAAAACCAATGGAAGTGCCTAAACCTGGATTACTATCAGAACCGCTGTAGCCGAAACACACATATTAATAATTTGAAACACTATGAAATTTAATAATGAATGGTCGTAATTTCAAATTTAAAAAGAAATTAATTCTGGATTGTCAATATAATTTAAACTGCACCCCGTTGGCATATCGTTAATACCATCAATACCTATTATTGTAAGTGACGACGTTTTGCTTAAAAATTGAAATTTCAATCAATGTGCTGCCATCTAGCGATTAATAGTTGAACGACGACGAATTCGAAATGTTTACTTAGTTTTCCAAAAAAAAGCGACCATATTGCAGTTACAAAAAAAAAATACGATAAACAGAAAATTTAAAATATTAAGAGCTCTCATGCCAAAAAAGTTTTGACGTTGGCTCCGCCCAAATTTATGAAACAAATATATGCCTGAAGTTCGCGTGACATGCGACAGGAGATGTTGAATTTTGCGCATTAAAAGTACCAAATTCGTTTTAGCGGAATAACTCTAAAACTAAAGGGATTAAAAAAATCCGTAGTGACAGTTCTCGATCATGCATAAATATAATTAATTATCTAATTTTTGTCCTAATAACCTGTAGCATTTCGAGGACAAATAGAAAAAATATGAAAATTAGAGGTCATTTCGTGATTTTTATCTATCGAGGAAACTTTATTGTTTTATGTTTCTGATTAATGTCTATTCTTGAATATATCGTGTCTCATACAATATTTTATTTTTAACTTTAAAGTGGATATACCCCTCTAAAATCAAATAGAAGATTAGGAATTTTTCCTCTGCTCCCTCTTAAATAAATAAGACTCAAATGATGATACGAAACACCACGGTAGATAATATTATCACTATCTACTACGACGACTATCATTCTTGCACTCCAAAGTAGCGAAGTAAGGCATTTTACTACGGGTTTCGAGGCTCTGCGTGAGATAATTAGACACGACCACTATGGTAGAAAGCGAAAATGGCAGACTAAGTTCAAATTTGAACCCTCTGGCACACATGCCATGCAAATTAGCTAGTGATCTTTTGAAATAAGTTTGTGTATCGGAAACATTTAAATGAAAATGAAATATTGATTTATTTTTTCCCGTCACAAGCTTGTGAATAATAATAGGACTTATAGTGGCTGGTGCCCGTGACTTCGTCTGAGTAGAAGAAGTACTTCAAGTAGCCTACTGTACTATACTAATTTTCATGGTTTTATTGGTTCTCCATGCAAACTTTCATCTCTTCTTTCGTACAATAAATAACGAGTTCAGGATGCTACGGGGTCTGCCATTTCGCGGCGACGGCAACGGATGGTTTCCAAGCGATCCTGCGCCTGCTTAGATCATCTAGCAGCATCCTGAACGTTTTTACTGGCAGGTGGGACTCTCCACTGCTACACCAGTGGATGTGCTTGCATGCGAACAAGCACATAGGTGAATAGTGGTAGCGGTTGTAATGTTTTTATTTTATTTCAATTCATTTTTTAGATTCGTGTACTTACTATACTATGCTGTAATATTGGCGATATAAAATATTTTGAATTTCAATTAGAATTTCACCAGATCCAAGATTTATTTTAATTGAAAAGTCATATTATAAAATTGAAGACTACGTGTTGGACAAAGATGTATGGAAAGACGACCTGGCCCTGGATTTACACACAAATTTGATTCAAAGTACATTCCATAGCATTTAAGTTTATTTGATAGGAACAATCCCTAGAGTTTCTTGCTCGTTATTTTCAGGGAAGTCAGCATTGTGAACGAGCAGTAGATTAAAAGTGACATTTTCAAGTGTTAATTTACTGTACCTATATTGACTTTGAATTCTAAAAGTACGTACCTGAAAGATGGCATAAGATTGTACATCAATATGGCAAAGTTTTATAATAATAAATTGAAATGCTTTCCATTTATACTTTGATAACAAAAATTAGGTGATTCAACGACACAGTTCGTGTGAGTTGGTAGCTGTGCGACGTTGTGTACCTTTTCCGGCGCCGATCATAATGCCTGTCGGTCCATTGATGTTGTCCACCCAACCAGGCAGGGGTTCTTTGTAGGATGCTGTAACTGAAAACAAAAATTGGACAATAAGTAACAAGGTGTAAGTTAAAAACTACTTATATTTTGTTATAATTATTAATACAAAGATCGAACACTCAGAAAAAATTCCTTCGATCCGGTCGGATTCGAACCGACGTCTTCTTGCA